TGATTTGGGGTTGACAGACTCCTTGAAGGATGGATCTGAGCGCAGATCCATAATGCATGAGCCTCCCCGCCCACCTACGCGCCCAGCCATCCTTTGGTGGGAGCAGCTGTGCATGCCGGAAAGTTACAATTCTGCATCCCTTGGAAACGATCGCTTTGCAAGGTTCTGTTTGTAAGTACAGCTTCTCTATTGATATGGCTGCGTTGTCTGAAGGCCTTCACACGTGGCTACCACCGTCTGCGCGTTTAGATACAGGTGTTTTGATGGAGGCTTCCCAAGAGCCTGAAGCAAACTCCTGGTCCCGCCAAAAACACCTTGTATTAATTGACTGCGAATTCTGCTCCATCACATCCAGCAAAGTCTTTCGAGGGAGGATTTACGGTCACAGACCTTATCTGGCTTGGAGAGCTGCCAGGCCGAGATCTGCAAAACCTGGCAAGGAGTCTTGGGGAGTCACGAACCAATGAAGCGAACTAATGGCCTCCTGCAAACTCCACTCCCCTTTCGCTCCTCTTTTACTTCCTCTGGGAGGGGCCATTCCTCGTCCACTTGTGGCCTTACTCCCAAGTCGACCCCTGTTCTTTAGCTCTTCGTCTGGTTGCTCTATGCATGCACACACTGGGAACAGGCTCCAGCTGTTCTTCTGCCTCACTGATGTCCGACTCTGAAGGCAGCTGATAACTATCAGACGGCTCTGGCCCCCTCTCTGTCTCCGACACAGAGCCCTCAGCAGAGCCTTCCCCAGACTCCAGGACTGGCCCATCTTCCTCCCCAACCTCCTCACTGCCTGAATCTGCTGCCGGCTCCACTGGGAGGCCACAACAGGAGAATGGAAAGATTGATATTCTTTGCAGTCCTCTGGTCGTTAGTGCTCTTTCTGAGAATCGCTGAGGCCACTTGCAGGTTTATTTACCTGACTAATGCAACATGGGCGTGGAACTTTCTTGGGCTGCTGAACGGACTGTGTTGTAGACAGGAGTGTTCGTATCCCTCCCACCCTGTTGAGAGTGGGCTGTTCAACTTTAANTCCCCCAACCATGCAGAGTCTTGCAGCTGAAACCTGGCATCATGTCTCCCCTAGTCCTTCTTTTCATTAAAGCAGGCATATCCAGTTCCTGCAGTCGTTTTATATCTTTATGGCTGGGCATCCCATAAACTTCCTGCAATTTAAATAATGGCATTTCATCCATGGAAAATTAAATCCTTATCCCTCATTTATTTAGCGTATGGCAACCCCTCAGTCAGGGGACACTGTGGCTCAGTGGCTAAGACGATCAGAATGGTCGGCAGTTCAGTGGTTCAAATCCCTAGCGCTCCCCAGTGAGCTCCCATTATTTGATCCAGCTTTTGCCATCCTAGCAGTTTGAAAGCATGTAAAAATACAAGTAGAAAAAGAGGAACCACCTTTGGTGGGAAGGTAACAGTGTTCTATGTGCCTTTGGCATTTAGTCATCCGGCCACGTGACCACAGAGATGTCTTTGGACAGCGCTGGCTCTTTGGCTTTGAGATGGAGATGAGCACTGCCCTCTAGAGTCAGGAACGACTAGCACATATGTGCGAGGAGAACCTTTACCTTTAACTCCTCAGTCTACTTCTTATTTTATTTATAGGCACATCTTCACTAATTATAGAAGGGTTGTCCCAATGATACTTTAAAAAAAATATTAGTGAGCGTTCTTCTGTGGTTCTCTAGATATTGGGTCACATGAAACACAATAAAATAGAAAGGCATATCTATTATTAAGCCAAGCCCCTGTCTTCTCTGAAACGATGCAATTTCATTTTCCCTCTTTCATTTCCTCTCCAGGCCTCCTGTTTAAGAAATGGGGGAAAGATAATCCATCATCTCCCACTTAGATTTTATTAGAGGTTTGAGTGAAATGGTGCTCCAAGTGCTGGAGCATTCTGCTTTGAGGTGCTGCCTAGATGCTCCTATCTGAAGGCATGGAGGGTGGCTTAACAAAAAAGCCTCCTGAGCATTTTTCTCCTCTCCGTCTCTCAGTTCTGGTTTTAGTGTAGTTTTTGTAATCTTCATCTATGTGGTTTTAATGTTTTCATTATTTCTCTTCTGGTCAGTTACTTAAAAGCTGCCCAGAGACACCTTATAGGGGAGGTGGGAGGCATAAAAATTTAATAAATAAATAAGAGGCATAGCACCAGACTCTTGGTCACAGGTTTGCTCAGACTACTACATGCCTGATACTGTTCCTTTAACATTCACTTGTTCAGCAACCGATGGCATTAGGTAAGGGGTATTTACAACCGTCTTCATAATTGCTATTATCACAGCATTCCCACAGTTAAACATGATTGCAATCCGGGTACTGTTAACTGGCTCGCAGCTACAGTGTCACATCACCCCACAGTCATTTTTTGCTCTTTGGATCCTTCACTGCTGGTGTCTGACAAACAAAGTCAATGGGGGAGCTGGTGGGAAGTCGCAAATGGTGATCACATGACCTTGGGATGTTGCAACTGCACAGGATTTGCCTAATACTGGCTTTTGGGACTGCCACAACTGCTTTCATAGGCTGGCATGGTCATATGACACTGCATCTCATGACTACCTCACTTAGTAATGCAATTCCTGGTCCTAATTAATGTCACTAAGCAAGGACTATTTGTATCGGATGCACCCATCGCCATTCCTAACCATAAGCAATGTTGCCTGGGGTTGGTGGAATCCATCATAATTGGGCAGGTCTCATAGAACCAATATAATACAGCATTGAAAATATGGCCTGGAATCATGGAGACCATAGTTTGAATCTCAATCAGCCATAAAACCTGCTGGATTACTTTTGGTTGGTTCCTATTTCTTGGTCCAACCTACAAGTTGTTCTAGATAAGAACAACACATAATAATGAAGAGAGAAATCTTACTCTACGAACAAATGAAGAATGAGTCACAACCTACACAGCCCCTGGGACATTAATGCAGTCACACAGTGATAGTCTTGCCTTGTATCACATGGGAATGTTACATTGGGATTTAGTGTTATCTCTAACAGGTTTCCCTAACAAGTCATCTAGAGGGGTCTATGACAATTTGCCGCAGCCGACTCGCCACAGCCGGGACAACTCACGGCAGGACAAGAGATACACTGATATAAATTGTCCTGTGGCGAATTGTCCCACGGCAAGATGGCCGTGGTGAGATGGCCACAGTGAGTTGGCTGTGGCAAGTTGTCCCTTTCTGCATGGAGAGCTGTGATGGCTAACCTTTTTGTTGTCGCGTGCCAT